AAGTGTCACAAAGGATACGTAGGAAACGAAAGCAACAGAAGACCTATTACGACAAAAGTGCAAAGACACTTGGAACTTTGAAAGCGAATCAAATTGTTAGAATGCAAACGGCGAAAGGATATGATAGGATTGGCGTAGTTAAGCAAGTAGCAAAGGAACCACGGTCGTACATCGTCGAATCAAATGGAAAAGAGTATAGAAGAAATCGAAGACATTTGCTTGCTGTACCAGAACCATATTATCATATCAAAGAAGAACCTGACGAACCAGATGGAAGCACACCATTTGAGAGTTCTCCACAACCAGTATCAAACCACCCTACAGTTAATACGGTTCCCGATGAAAATTACGAAGTTCCACAACAAACAATTTGTCAACAAGTTGTGAGTAACAACCTTGTAGCAACTTGATAAAATGACAACATTGTTACAACTTGTTGACAAGCTTGCTACAAGCCTGTTGCAAACACATCTTGTTGACAAGTTGCAAGATTTTTGTCAAGTCGTTATAAATATGTTGAAATTATGTTCTCAAGCTGTTGACAAGTTGTGTTCGCACTGCTTGTTCCCAGTTGTTGCAACAAGTTTGGAACAAGCTGTTAACAACTTGTAACAAGCTTGATGGCATTATCAGACTTGTTACAAGGTTGTTCCACAAAAATCTGATATAGTCATGATATAACAAGAATGTTACAAGGCTTGTAAAAAGCTTGTCAACAACTTGTAGAATGTTGTTATTTTATCAAGTTGCTACAAGGTTGTCATTCATAATTTGTTGACAAATTGATGAACTGCAGGACGATAACAAGTTGTTGGAACAACTTGTAACAAGTCTGTTGAGTTTAACAACCTTGTAGCATGTTGTCAACAAGCCGTTGACAACTTGTCAACATGCTGGGAACAAGCAGTGCGAACACATCCTGTTGACAAGTTGTTGGAACAGCATTGCTACAAGTCTGCTGCAGGTTTGTTACAACTTGTGCGTTTTTACGTGTGTACACACGTAAAAACGCACAAATTGTTACAGGTCTGCAAACAAGTTGTTACAAATCTGTTCACAACCTGTCGACAAGTTGTGTTTGCATTGCTTGTTCCCAGTTGTTGTAACAAGTTTGTAACAAGCTGTTACAACTTGTAACAAGCTTGATGGCACTGTCGGACTTGTTTCAAGGTTGTTCTAACAAGCCTGATACAGTCATGATATAACAAGAATGTTACAAGGTTGACGACACAAGGTTGTAACAATATTGTTATATCATGACTGTATCGGACTTGTTGGGATAACCTTGCAACAAGTCTGATAATATCAACAAGGTTGTTACAAGTTGTTAACAGCTTGTTCCAAGCTTGTTGACAACTTGGGACAAGCGGTGCGAACACAACTTGTTGACGGCTTGTTGGCAGACTTGTTGTAAGATGTGAAATTTTTACGCGTGTACTGTAGCAACTAGCAAGTCTGCCAACAGGCTATCAACAAGTTGTGTTCGCACTGCTTGTCCCAACAAGTTTGGAACAAGGTTGTTCCAACAAAGTCCAATACAGTTATGATATAACAATATTGTTACAACCTTGTGTCGTCAACCTTGTACCATTCTTGTTATATCATGACTGTATCAGACTTGTTAGAACAACCTTGTAACAAGTCTGATAATGCCATCAAGCTTGTTACAACAACTGGGAACAAGCAGTGCGAAGACAACTTGTCGACGGTTTGTGAACAGATTTGTAACAACTTGTTTGCAGACTTGTAACAACTTGTGCGTTTTTACGTGTGTAGCACCACTAGCACGTCGAAACCAACCAAGCCTAATAGTTCAGTTTTGCTACAGCTAGTAAAAAGCGTCGACGCTTAATTGCTTCGGACGGTGTGTTTCGGACGTACTTAATTCGTCGAACGAAATGTTCGTGAAAATCTTACCGTTCAAACCTGACTTTAAGGCTCCTTTCCACTCAGGAAAATTTTCCGCGAAAAGAAAATTTTGTAAAATGTGATTGGCCGACGCGAATTTTTCGTCGGAAAAATATTTTGAAGTTGAAAATTTTCAACTTTTAACAATGATATTTTCGGAAAATTTTCTGTCCGTGGGAATTTTTCCTGTGTAGAAATGGGTCTTCGCGTTTTTGCGGCAAAAATGTTTACTTTTAGCGCGATAGACACATGAAATGGTCAATTTACATCTAACTGCAAATGCAAACTAAAATTAGTCTACTGTTGTACCTTGTAAGCGACAGTATCTCCAATTCTTGGAGGTCCGTGTAACAAAGGATAAACTGAAAAGTCTTTCTCGGGTGTATCGACCGTGACAGACAGAGACTCCTGTAAATAAAATCGGCGTAACATGACTAACCGTTATATCACAAATTCTAACATGGAATGATAGGCAAAAAAAAGTAGGAAAACTGTAAAAAGATCAAATGACATGAAAATCTTTGTAAGCATTGACCCATTTGAGAGTGAATGCAGCCTAGTTCCTGCCTTTCGCTTCCATGATGCTAGGCTCGGTGAGAAGGCCTAGCACAATTCGTAAATCTGGCCGCCACCTTTGCCCTTCGAGCGGCCCTAGGTTCTGCATATTTATATCAATGTTTTTGTATAACTATATTATGCCTTTGGGATGAACAATTGACCAAGATATTTGATATGGATGGAAATATGTACTGTAGGTCTTATTCCTAAACTCATACAGTAACCTTACTTGAACAGCCAGTTCAGGCAAGGTTACTTTATTAGCAGGGCAGGAAAAAATAATTTTCTTCCTGGGAGCACAACCTGAAGACAAAAATTTCCTGCAGACCAACGGAGTATTTTTGTGCTAAATTTGCGCTGACCGTGGTGTTAAATTCAAGGAATAATGTCTGTCAACCATATGTTGTTGTGCCCATAGTGGGACATGGGTGTTAAGGTTTCCTTCAAATTTTCAATAGCAAATCTTCATTCAAACGAATTTCCTGCAGCTGTTTAACAATTCCTGCGAGCAGTGGTCGCGTGCTCGGCTATTTTTTCCACTCCTACCCTATTTTTTCCACCCTTGCATGTTTATGAATTTAGGAATACGACCTATTTGACGAATTTCGTTTGGCCTTCTCCCGCGTTTCAAAACCGATCCAATCACACAGAAAGGCCAAAAAAGAGACTATTTCAAAACCGATCCAATCACACAGGAAGGCCAAAAAAGAGACTAGTCTAGAGTGGGTGGTCATCATTATGACTGCAATCAAAGGATTTACATGGTCTACATCTTGTTGCCATTACAAACTCAAGAATCTAAACATCTAACCTGTGGTTGGGTATCTTTCTCAACCCTGGTACTTTCCATAATCCGACTTGTGTTTGTATAAGAATCCTTCCTCTTCCCTCCTTTCCCCCCTCTGTGGTTGTTGACCTTGTCACTTCCATTCACAGATTTATTGGCAGAAAAACCATTTTGTGCGTGGGGTTCGATGGGAGATAAATTTGGCGTGCCATTTGGACACGGGGTATTGGCTCCGCGAATGGACAAAACACGTGGATGTGCCAATGGTAGCATTGCATTATTTAATACTTCAGTCACTGAATTGTTGTCCTCTTCGTTGTCAAATCTTATATGATTGCCTTGACTTGTCCGGGGAGTACCTAAACAACAAAGAAAATATATAGAATGGGAAATATCAACCTAACGCTTTAACATACGTGGCAATGTGCCCTGATGCACCTTACTTTATTATTTTACTTTGTCAAAAATCCCAGACAGTTTTACTTGTCAAGGGGAAAGTGCTGTCACTTAATGGGTTAAAATCAAATGATTTGTGATTGTCTTGTTCAAACAAAAATGACATTTCTGTGACAATCTTTAGATGTGTTTACTAGTTTTAGATATACTGATTGGAACATGTTTCACCATTAAGCTGGTGGCAACTTTCACAAAGTTAATGCATACTGTATATTTCAACTGATATGTTAGGCAAGTGCCCTTCGCTAGGTCGTTAGCGTGTTCAGCCAGCACCCTTCGCTAAGTCATTAGCATGTTTATGTTCGGGCCTGCAGTAATTGGCTCATGCTGTTGCAGTCAACCTGCCTATAGTCATGTATATTTTTCTTGTTATAGTATTATGTATTGTAATAATAAACAAAAATAAATAAATGCCCTTCGCCTAGTCGTTAGCATGTTCAACAAGCACCCTTTGCCAAATCAATAGCGTGTTTAGTTATCTGTTTTATACTATGGACGCATCATTCTTCACCATTTAGTGTAGACAAAAGACAAATCATCCACAAAACTAGTTAGAAGTCAAGACAAAAACCTCACCATTCTCAATTCTGTTTGGTATTTCTTTATTATTACTCTTTCCTTTAGACAATGAATCTCCATTATTCTCTTGTACTTTACCATTTACTGTGGGATCTTGCATTCTCTCCTTATCTGCACTCCCTGCCAAATTTATACCATTATCCTTTGCTGTAACAGTTTGTGTGGTTTCAGGCTCAGCTAATTTTTTAGTGCTAAATGTTGGATTCCATTGATTCCGACTGCCTGCTAGTTTATCCCAGAAACTGTTCAACTTTGTCGCAATAGATTTATCTTTCGATGGTTTTTTATGCCGCTTTTTCAATTTCTTTTGTTTCGTTTTTGTTTCAGCAATAGAATCGCCTTTCTGTAGGGAGTTTTTGTTAGAAATTGTATTTACATTTTCTGTGTTTTTGTTTTTGTTTTTTTCTTTGTGTATATTATGAAGTAAGGAGCTTTGAGTGGTTCTTGAGTCATTTGTGACCACAAGATTTGAGTTTGGCTGTTTATCTGTAATGCTACCATCAATGTTATTTTCAGCTGTTAAATTTTTATCAGATGAATGTTTTGCCTTTTTTATTTTTCTCTTCGAGTCGCAGCTTTCCTCATATTTTCTTTTCCTTGAAAACAAACAAGTTATATGTGTTAACTCACTGTATATTATTGGGATTATAAAAACCAAAAACTTACTTTGAACTTCGGATCTTTTCCTTACTGCTTGTTTTTTCGGAGTTTTCATTACTTAAAATATTATTGTTATCTTCTACGACCCTGGTAGAAATAAAATATTAATATGCCTGTTACTAGTGGAACCAAGAATTTGACATGCCTGTATATTTAGTTTTTTTGCAAGTAGCCAAAAAATATTTTCAGTTAGCAAATTACGACAGGGGACCAGGCACCAAAGAAATTTTTCAAGTTATGTTTCATATTGTCAAAATTGAGTGTCCACTAATTTGCTCAAAACCAATTAGTCGAAAATTTTCATATATCAACCCAAAAACGGAGTTCTCCTTCTGAAAACGGAGTTCTGGCATTTAAAAACAGAGTTGTGCTGTTGTGGCATTTGAAAACTGAGTTTTGGCATTTGAAAATGGAGTTTTGGCATTTGAAAATGGAGTTCTGGCATTTGAAAATGGAGTTTTGGCATTTCAAAATGGAGTTTTAGCATTTGAAAACTGAGTTCTGGCATTTGAAAACTGAGTTTTGGCATTTGAAAACGGAGTTCTGGCATTTGAAAACTGAGTTCTGGCATTTGAAAATGGAGTTTTGGCATTTGAAAAAGGAGTTTTGGCATTTGAAAACTGAGTTTTGGCATTTCAAAACGGAGTTCTGGCATTTCAAAATGGAGTTTTGGTATTTGAAAAAAGAGTTCTGGCATTTGAAAACGGAGTCCTGGCATTTGAAAACGGAGTTTTGGTATTTGAAAACGGAGTTTTGGCATTTGAAAACGGAGTTCTACCATTTGAAAAAGGAGTTCTGGCTTTTGAAAATGGAGTTTCGGCATTTGAAAAAAGAGTTCTTGAAATTTTCTAATTTCTATGCATGGTAAGACCTTCTGACCAAGGATTGCAGTTAGCTTCAGGCACTTGCAGGTAGTGCCGCTACCTAGGATCCCAACATCTGACAGGCATGTATAGGATTTTCTTAAAATTTGGCAGATCAACAAATTCAGCTGAAATTTGGGAGTCTTCTCTGGGAACATGTTCCCTACTAGGGTGAGGCAGTTCATCTGTCAAAATATATTACAGTTAGATTAAACTTCACACTACATTTTCAAGACTTTAGTTTTAAAAACAATTGTATGAATGGTATATAGTACTGCCTTAATCTGTAAGAGCTATAGCTGTTAGGTGCACACTATTCTCTCGTTTTGAACATTTGAAAGTTGAAGCCTTGTTTAACAGCCTTGTTTTTGTGCATGTAAGATTAGTTAAACCCAAGCCTCTCAGTCATAAATGGCTCTGTAGCCAAAGTCACATACTTTCCAAAAGGATCTATTCCCATGGTGAAAAGTTGTGGTGTTGCGCTGAATGTCTTCGGCGTATAAGGATCATATGTTCTTACACAAGTTTGGCACTCACCAAACTGATTTCTAGAAGAAACAATAGGTTCTATTGCATGTGTCCCCCCGATTGGTGTGCAAATATCATATGCATTACCAGTTTCCACTATGGATCTATTCCACTATGGATCTATTCTATGCCAAAGATAAACCAATATTATCTATAGATAGTATTGTAATTTGCCAAACTCATGCCAGATATCTTCGCACTTTTGTGCACAGAATGCACCCTGGACCACCTCACGGGTGTTTGTTATGGGTGATGTCAATACTTGGCATCTGGTGTCGTAAAACCCTAACATTCACCCCAACAAAAACCCCCGCAAGGAATGCCAGTGAGGTTAGGGGCCACATCCATATTCAGGTTGCCATAAATAATGTTGAATCAACGTTATGAGTGCGTGGGGTTATATATGAACTTATCGACGTTCATGGGCGTACCGGAAGGAAAAAATTAGGGGGGCGGAAAGAAATCTGCCCGACTTTTCGGGATTGTGCCCGACTAGTACTGAAAATTTTTTTTCCGGAACAATTATTTCGGCGACCCCCCCCCCAGAACAACCCTTTCAGAACATCACACAAATTTTCAAAACAACACACAATTGACCATGAAATTGTCTGAATTATTGTCTGAATTTGTCGAAATTGACATAATTTGTCCCATTTATATTGATTACAGACCTAAATTGCCCGACTATTGATCGAATATTGCCCGACTGCCCAAAAAACTGGGGGGGGGAGGGGCTGCCCCCCCCCCTGCCCGGTACGCCTATGTCGACGTTATGAGTGGCAATTTGACAATTATAAATACCCAAAGTAATGTCTCAATCAATTCCATGGTTGCCCAACACCCCCCCGGGCGTTTGTCGGGCATTCTCAACTGCACTTGTTCCCAGGGTCGGGCATTTGCTTTCTGCAGGTTAGCCCCGGGGTGGGGAATTTGCTCGAGGCTGAAAAGTCGAATATTTATCGCTTGTTTCGCCATTTAGCCGTACTTTAGTACGCATGTTTACACGTGCGTGCGTATTGCAAATTAATCATGGCGGACATACGATGGGACATACACACAAACACTTTTTTCTTGTCCATCATATTGATACATTGACTTACTTCCGCAGTTTGATATTGCTATATAAAATTTTGAGACTTCAATATTTTAATTAAAAACGTTTTGAAACGAAATGGCTACAGATATATTGATACGCGATAGAGCTTGCATTCGATTTTTTGGATCAGAAATCCTCAGAAAACTTATATTTTGTCCCCCAAGGGTGGGGCATTTGCGTCAATGTAAGTCCCCAAGGGTGGGGATTTTGTTGCATTATTTGGACCCCATAGTGGGGCATTTGCAACGTTTTTTCGCCAAAATGACAAATGCCCGACAAACGCCCGGGGAGGGGTTGGGCACCCATGGAATTGATTGAGACATAACTGTCACATAACAGATTTTGTATCAGAAATATGAAAGTCAAAAATATATGACTGAATATTGATCTACATTATCTGGAGTGGGTGGGTGACAAAATAACGTCGATTCAATGTTATTTGTGGCAACATGAATATGGACTCTTTAATATAAAGTCAAACTGCTCAAATTTACCTTATCACATCATTATCTCTAATGACATCAATCTTCTCTTTTGAGGGCAACAGAAAATCATCCAGAAACAGATTCAATATAGTGTGGCCAGCCACGAAGAACTTCTTAACAATCAAATATTCCAAATCGTGAACCATCTTGCATGAACTTTTATCAACCAGCATCCAGCACTGTTCCGGCGATTTGACTAAAGGCCGCTCAAAAATGAGCTTTACTCGTACCGAAGACATGCTTTAGCTCCTAGCCCCAGTTCTTAAGACATCCAAAATAGATATGAAAAATTGTTTTTGTTGTTTTTATAAATTATAAAAGAAAATATTCATCAAATTTGCCACAAAATGTCTTAAGAAAAACATTTCAGGTTATAAGCGCTAGATGGTATCATAACTAACGAACTGCTGCTGATAAAAATGTTCGCAGCTTCGGAAACTATTTAATACCCAGGCTTCCTAAATTTTCGTGGAGTGCGCGGTCACGCGAGTTTTTAGGGTTCTGGTGATTTTGCTTGGTGTTTTGAGTAATGTGATTGGTCAGTTTCGACTAATGGCTGCACGGTTGGCAGTGTGCTTATTGAATATATCTGAAGCTCGACGACTACATGTGGTAGAAAAAATCGCAAAGGCTGCAGGCATCCTTTCAACAGAATCAAAATTCAAATGCTTGTCGACCGTGTTAAACATATTCTCTGACCACGACTATAACCGTTCGGTGCTAACCATTGCAGCACCAATTGAGAATTTACAAACTTCAGTTGTTAATGCTTGTAAAGTAGCATATCGAGAAATCAACTTGCAAAACCACACTGGAGGTCACCCTCGGTTAGGGTCAGTTGACCTTATACCCATTTACCCAATTTCACACTTAGTGTCCCTTAACAAGTGTGGTGACATTGCAAAAGGGATTGGGAACCAGATTGTGAGTGAAGTAATGGGGACTAGTGTGTTCTACTTTGGGACGGCAGATTATCCAAACGCAAGGGGATTGGTTGAAAGGCGGAAGGAAGTCGGTTGGTATAAGGGTCGGCATGGCATGTCATATGATGGTGTTAAATTTGATATTGGTGGGCCACCTATGTCACGGTATGGCTTGACAGGTGTTGGTGCAAGTCCATATGTTATGAACTGTAATGTCACAATTGAGACCAAAGATTTTCAAGTGGGGCAAGGAATAGCAAAGGCCATTCGTGGGGCAAGCCCGGGGGGTTTAAAGGGTGTGCAAGCAATGGCTTTCGACCATGAGGGATCTGTAGAGATTGCATGCAATGTTGAAGCTTTTGCCTCTGATCAGGTGGGTTGTGGGACTGTGGCTTGAAATTATGTATTCACTTGGTTATGCTAGACTGTGTGGGGAGAGGGAGTGTGTGTGTGGGGGGGGGGGGATGAAACAGTTCAGAACTAACACATCTATTCAGTATAAAGTTTATTGAGTGCAAACTGCATTATTTTAGTTAATCAGCTTTAATCCATTGAGTAATATATAATATGCCTCAGTAATACCAACCTATTTACATGATAAAATAAGCATAAGAAAAATAAGCATAAGAGAAATAAGGGTTTAACCCATTTAACACCCTGGCTACTATTTAAAACACGCATATGAGTGTTTTATCCAATAAGCTTATGAATAAATGTTTGAAATGTGGTTTACAGGTATAAACTGGCCGTTGAGAAAGATCGTGACTCTATTTTTACGACCATATGGAAATCAGGCTTAAGTGTTGTTATTCAAAGAGCCCATTAATTATGTGTCCTCTATTTTATAGGAGAAAAGCAACTATGAAACAAAGCAACATGTTTTTAACTATACCAGACCAAATGAAATAAAGGAAAGAATAAAGACCCTAGCATCAGAGCATGGTATTGATGTAAAGGGAACAGTTATTGTGGGATTCACACCAGACGAAGTTTATGACATGGCATACAAGGCACTTTCAGAGGGAAATACTACAGCTTGGAAGAACAGCCGACTTCATCGCATGTAGCTAAAAATTTACCGTTCAATTACGAAAGTGGCCTCCTCCCCACCACTTAAGGAATTTTCACGAATAATTAACAAAATAAAACATAAAATCTAAGATACATTATTATTTATAAATATATTACAATGTGTAAACAGTATATCTGTAAATACAACTTTCTTTCAATTAAATAAATATTTTTATATTTTTTTATATTTGATTATCTGGTCACGCCTATATAAGGTGGAGTGAAGTTTCAATAGTCAACTCGGCTCACAAGATCTAAAATAGATAGAAAATATATCACCGAGGCTCGAGCTGCCGTCTTCTGAACTATCTAAAAGGTCTGGACCGCGCATACAGTATTTGTAATTATCTGTTCGCCTCAAAAAGAACATATTACAATTACCTTTATAACTGCTGAGAGGATCTTGTGCTGCAGACGTCTCTGGTTTAGCTTTACCCTTGGCTGTATTCTGTTAGAAAACATGATATTACTGTAACAGCTACTGTATACCCGCTAACTAACGCGGTCATATCACACAAAGCAATTTCCGTTCCTTAACCATTCTTCTGTTACACATGTAAAAATCTCACAACTTGTCAACAAGATGTGTTCGCAACAGGCTTGTAGCAAGCTTGTCAACAAGTTGTAACAATGCTGTTATTTTATCAAGTTGCTACAAGATTGTCACACAACTTGTTGATAAATTGTTGAATTGCAGGACGATAACAAGTTGTTGGAACAACCTGTAACAAGTCTGTTGAGCTCAACAACCTTGTAGCAAGTTGTCAACAAGCTTGGAACAAGCAGTGCGAACGTATCCTGTTGACAAGTTGTTGGAACAGCATTGCTACAAGTCTGTTGCAGGTTTGGTACAACTTGTTGCAGGTTTGGAGAATGAGATTCGCGAGCCGAAATACGAAACAGACGATTACAAGTTTACCTTAAGGACAGGTTTCGGCACACCCAATAAATCACACAAAATGTTTCTTTGTGGTCGAATTTGATCAACAGTTTCTTCCCTGTCGAGGAAAAGCAAAATGTAAGTACGCATGTATACATATTGTTGGTAGCCTAAGTATGTTATATGTCATTCCAGTATATAAGATGACAAAACTTTCCTACACGATGTAGGCTAAGAAAATTTCCAAGGAAGATATTTTGCTAAGAATTTCCTACCCGAGTTATTCGGCTATCATTCAAAGTCTTATGCTTGTGATGTTACTCTGAGTGTATATCCACACCGGGCAAGCTTGAACAATATGCCTGGCCACGGTGGGAATCGAACCTACGATCTTTGGTAGGGAATCGAACCTACGATTTTGGAACCTACGATCTTTGAAGTATTCCAAAGATCGTAGGTTCGATTCCCACCGTGGCCAGGCATATTTTTCAAGCTTGCCCGGTGTGGATATACACTCAGAGTAACATCACAAGCATCATATTCACCTGAGTACATTACATGCAAAGTCTTTCTGAAATTACCGCCACCGATCATAATATTGGCGTACCTCGGGTACAGACAGTCTTACCACAATGTTTCACTCAGTATATCCAGGACTTCCTCCACGCTCTCATCGCTGGCAATATCGTCGTATGTGATCAGAGCAGTATACAATGAATCAGCAGTCGCCTTTCGTACCTTAAAATGAAGCGCAAAAAGTGTTTGCTGAGTACCTATATGCATGTGTTGAACTTCCTGAAAAACAACGGACGGCCCTTTGTCACTTTTAGAAGTTGGCAAGTGGCTACCTTGGGTGGTTTGTACATTCTGATTTTTCCATTAGCAAGTCTGCCAACAAACCGTTAACATGTTGTGCTCGCACTACCTGTCCCAAGTTGTGAACAAGTTTGGAACAAGCTGTTAACAACTTGTATTGTCTTGGTGATATTATCAGACTTGTTGCGAGGTTGTTCCAACAAATCCGACACTGTCATGATATAACAATATTGTTACAACCTTGTGTCGTCAACCTTGTAACATTCTTGTTATATCATGACAGTATCAGACTTGTTAGAACAACCTTGTAACAAGTCTGATAATATCAACGAGCTTGTTACAAGTTATGAACAGCTTGTTCCAATCTTGTTAACAACAACTGGGAACAAGCAGTGCGAACACAACTTGTTGACAGCTTGTGGACAGATTAGAACTGACAGAGCTATCCAGTATAAAATTAGTTTATGTCCGACAATAGCACTGGACCAATAAGGGATGGCACTGACTAGAACAATAGGGGGGACTTTGTAGCTATGCTCTTACCCGTGGATATTTATGACAGAGTAATATTAACAAACGTTGTAAGGATCTTCGTCTTGTCTTTCCAGGAAACTGCAGAAGACCGCTGAACCTATTAAGATGAAATTTAGAAATGAACCCACGAACAACCCATTTAAATCACAAGAGTAGATAGATTCACTAGACATACGAGCTTTTCGAAAATATTAAATAGGGGGGCGAGGTGGGATTGTGTATAAACCAATGTTATCCAAATAGGTCTATGTTATCTGAACGGCAAAAACGAAGAATCGATTTGTGTATGTAACGTACACGTTAATACTGACAATAATCTTCCTCGCATCTGGTATTCTGGCGATTTCATTTTGCGTCAAATCAAAAAGCGCCTCTGAGATGCTTTCCCTAAACGACAAATAACGTATATTAAAAGCTATGTTTGCAGCAAATTCTAAGAGATGACTGTCATTGGACCTCTGAGAGGAACGCTTTAGTTTAAGTTTCCTTCTGTAGTAACACTGGATCAACAAGGGGTGACTCTTACTGGACCTCTAGGGAGGAGAGTTTAGAACTGATAGAGCAATCCATGCAGTACAAGTAGTTAGTTTAGTTTAAGTTTACTTCTTCAGTGACACCAGATCAACAAGGGATGGCTACTATAAGAGACGATCCTTACTGGACCTCTAAGGAAGACAGTTTAGAACTGATAGAGCTATCCAGTACAAGTAGTTATAGCTTAGTTTATATTTACTTCTGTAGTAACAACGGATCAAGAAGGGATGACTCCTACCGGACCTCTAGGGAGGCAAGTTAAAAGCTGAATATAAAGCTACCATGTCTAGTATAAATAACTTCAGTTTATTTTGGAGCACACACCCTCCTTCGTTTGCCAAGAAATTCAAACTGCCAATAGAAAATAGATGATCCAATACTTTAAATAGTGGAATAATGACCCTGGAACGAAATCAATTTTTCACTTAGTGTAGTGTGGTGTCAGCCATCATTATTGATGCAATAGTTGTTCACCTTACCTATCGTTCTTTTGAAACTCTCTAAACAACTTTACTAAATTTTCTGCAAAATTCATCAATGCTTCATCTCTGTAATAAGAAAGCACCAAGAGCATTCATAAAACTTACTGAATGATAATAACACAAGTCTTAACTTTAACATATATTCACTTACTGCCGAGTTGCTGAAAGCCTCCCGAGAAAATTTTCCAATGAAACCCCAGCCTGTCGTATCTGAGAAAGAAACATGCAGGTCAAGCAGTTCATAGTATTCCCAACCTCAAAGAAATGCGACCTATATGACATGCAATTATCAATGAACTAGGTAGGGATGTGCCGGCTACACACATCTTGTAGCACATCTGCCAACAAGCCGTCAACAAGTTGTCTTTGCACTGCTTGTCGCAAGTTGTCAACAAGTTTGGAACAAGTTGATAACAATTTGTAACAACCTTGCTGATATTATCAGGCTTGTTACAAGGTTGTTCCAACAAGTCCGATACAGTCATGATATAGCAGTATTGTTACAACCTTGTGTCGTCAACCTTGTAACATTCTTGTTATATCATGACTGTATCAGACTTGTTAGAACAACCTTGTGACAAGCCTGATAATGCCATCAAGCTTGTTACAAGTTGTTAAAAGCTTCTTCCAAACTTGTTCCAACAACTGGGAACAAGCAGTGCGAAGACAACTTGTTGACAGCTTGTGAACAGACTTGTAACAACTTGTGCGTTTTTACGTGTGTACTGCTTTGCCACATTCCTACAATGAGGTCATGTTGGAAGTGTTCTCTTCGTTGCAAAAAGCTATAAATACGTACTAAACATTCACTGAGTCCACCAGCGCTGAGTATTATCCCACTGAGTACAGCATATTGATAACATCGTATTTCCAGTAACTTGGAGATTTTCCTGAAAACCTCAGCTGCGGCACCCCAGTTTAGATTCTCACAATCTTCTCTGGAATAAAAAAATGGCCGATGCATGTCATCGCTCCTGGATTGCATCTTACTTCGTTGTTTATAAGTCTAATCTCGAGTGCACAAGATAGTATGTTTTGTTTTATATTAATCATCATACCTTGGGAATACGTCACACAGGATCTTGTGTTCCGGGATATTTGGAATTGCAGGACTTTACAAAGGAACAAAAGACGTTAACGTAATTAATTTCATGGCTGACTTAACCATCTTTAGACCATTTCCACTCAAGAAAAATTTCCACGGACAAAAAATTTTCCAAAAACATCATTGTTAAATGTTGAAAATTTTCAACTTCAATTTTCCGACGGAAAATTTGTGTCGGTCAACCACATTTTACAAACTTTTCTTTCTGCGGAAAATTTTCCAGAGTGGAAATGGGCCTTTATATTTGAGTTCGACCTGGAATGGTAATAAAATTTGTTCGGTGGTACTTAGTCTTGGCCAATGAACAAGTCGATATTTTATAGATCATCAAAAGAGTCTTACTTTTGTTTGTGGATAAGCTTCAACATAATTTCTCCTGCGTGCGCTCTTGTGTGATCAATTTTCTCACTGCATTGTTTCAACAGACAACACATCATTTGGCTACATCTATGTAACATTTAATACAAGGAAGTTTATCAATGCAATCCTCCATGCACTATACCGACATTAACCAGACATGGGTTTTGCAGGGGATGCAGGGGGAGCACACCCCTCCTCGTCGTGGCAAAAAGGGGTGTGGAAGTGTACCAATGGGTGATTCTAGCTATACACTAAATTTTGATCAAGGCAAGAAGAACGAAATCCAACACCACAGCTAGAAAGAGCGTCTTAGGATGAGTAAAACTGCAAAGTTTGGTTGCGAACTGTTGTAAAATGAGGAAAATATAGCCCTGTAAAGTTCGCAAATTTTGTATATATTTGTATTACGCGCGGTAAAAATGACCACTTTCGGCTCAAAAATGGTTATTTTTCCCGCGCGTAATGCAAATATATACAAAATTTGCGAACTTTACAGGGCTATATTTTCCTCATTTTACAACAATTCGCAACCAAACGTTGCCATTTTACTCATTTTAAGATGCTCTTTCCAGCTATGGTAATGGATTTCGTTCTTCCTGTCTAGATCAAAATTTCGTCTATACCTAGAATCATCCATTTCCTTTTCAAATTAATGTTATGATTTGGAAAGGAAATTATCCTAATACCCTTACTACAAGCTTGGCTCCTGCATGGGCCCTGCCAGGGGCAGTGGTTTGACAGTTTCCAGAATACTGCTGTCTGTAGCTTCCTCTAGTGATTTTGCATTTGATCAACGGTTGCACCCTAGACCATAGCCAAACTCGATGAACACCTCCTACTAGATCTGGATGGATCCATGCATGCATCGTTGACTTTACAAATAGTACATAGCGACTATACTGCCAAACACAATAATAAACTACCAGTAACAAGGATTTTCAAGCTTGTCCAGGATACCCTCACAATACTTACGTTTCTTTAGAAAGTAATTCCGTATCTGTCTTTGTAACAACTAGTGTAAGTTTCAGCAAGCATGTCATGGCGGCCTTGCGTGACCTATAGTGAACAAAAGTACATCAATAATGCATTAAAGCAACCATTCAAACAAAATATATTAATATATATGCAAGCTAACCTAAACTAAATTTATATTCATACATTGATCTGTTCTAAACTGTTCTTACTAGTTGAAATCATTCCTTATTGGTCTAGTGTTACTAAAGGAGGAAACCTAATCTAAACTAACTTTATTTATACTGCATGATATAGCTTTATCAGTTCTAAACTGTTCTCCATAGAGGTCCAGTGTGAAAGCTGGCCCTTGTTGATCCAGTGCTGCTACAGGAGGAAACCTAAACTAACTTTATTTAAACTGGATAGCTTAATCAGGTTGGTCACAAAGGTTGAAAGTAAAATGCACTACAATGCCCATTGTGTCACAAACAACCTCTTACAAACACATTTCCTCTCGAAACTAAACTTAACATACCACGATCCCACATCGCCTCGACTATCGATAGTATAATCCTTCATTGCTTTAAAACAACATTGATAGAGCCTCGCCATGGTAGACTCATTGATAACACAATTACCAACCCCTTCTCTCTGAACACCTACAGTTTCTGCAATACTAAAAAATATTACATAAACATAGTTTTAATATGCTCGTATGCTCGTACGTACAATGTATTCTAAACACCCACAGGTAATGAAGTTTGGGTGTTTACAAGAAAAGGGTGATTTCTAAAGGTTTTTTAGACACCCTGTAGAGGCTTACTTAGCCAGAGAGTGCAAAGCATCTGCTCGAGATTGTGCAAATTTTCCAGCATCTTTTTCAGGAATCTCAGTTACTTGAAGAAGACTATCTATAACCTAGGAAAACAAGAGAAATCGTTCATTCCACACTAAATACGAAGTATCCAGCAACGAATCAATATGTACCTTTAAAAGATAACCATCCAGCATAAATTTTGGAAGCGCTCCAAAGGCTAAGGTAAATCCTTCTCTAGGTAAAAAATATCACACAATCAATAATATAAGGGTGGAATGTTTGCGAAACATATGTCCATTGGTTATGGATTGGTTTGGTTTGCTTTGGTTACGGGTTGGTTTGGTTACGGGTTGGTTTGGTTACGGGTTGGTTTGGTTACGGGTTGGTTTGGTTATGGGTTGATTTGGTTATGGGTTGGTTTGGTTATGGGTTGGTGTGGTTATGGGTTGGTTTGGCTGTGGGTTGGTTTGGCTACGGGTTGGTTTGGTTGTGGGTTGGGTTGGTTTTAGTTTTGGTCCAGTCCAGTCCAGTCCAGTACAGTTGAATTCAATTCAATTCAATTCAATTCAGTCCAATTCAGTTTAGTAGGTATACCTCATAGTTTGCGAAGGATGTTTTAATTTTTCAATGTACACGGTGATTAATGATTCTGTAAATGGAGAAAAGAATTCGTCACTAAAACTCTAAAAGCGGCAAAACGTTTGGGAAATTATTTTTTCCGGACAACGTACCCTGGATATCGGGCACTGCGCGTCCATCTTTCGTTTGGTAAAAGTGCGTCGTAAAATGTCGTAAAGCACCGACCGCTTTTTCCTAAAAAAAGAATCATGCAGACAGTAAGACCGTTAACGAAGTAATCAATTCGGTCAAACAATCGTACGGAAAGCGATATTCACCTGTATGGATCTTTGAAGATGATTTAAATTATCATCAATCGTGTTCCTCCATGTAACTAAACAAAATCAACCGAGGATATTGAATGACATGCAATCAAAGATTGAGCTTCTCACTCATTGGTGAGCGGATTTCCCAACAGGCTATATTGCCCATTTGATAGGGAATCCGAGGTACCTACGATTTTAACGTCCTTATCCGAGAAAACGCGAAAGTCTTAACTTTCTCCTCAATTATTTTAAGACCTTGAGTAGAGGTCCGACCAAGGGTTGAACCCGGGTCTCCCAGCGGCAAGCGTGGTGACCACGACACCAGAAATGCTGGTACTAAGATTGTTAGAAAACTGTAAAATTGTACGGAAACTTACCAACAGTTTCAACATTGAAACATTCAAATTTGGATAAAGACATTTTCTCGATGAAATGGCAAACTGAAAGGAGGCAAAATTTCAATCGCTTCAGTTAAGCCCCAATCAAACGAAGTTGAAAGTTGATGAGAGTTGCGACTCTTGCTCGCGTTTGACCATCAACTGTCATGCAACTATTATTGTTCTCGTTTCGCCGGGGTACACACGTAAAAACGCACAAGTTGTAACAAAGCTGCAACAGACTTGTAGCAATGCAGTTCCAAACAAATTGACAACAGGAAGTGTTCGCACTGCTTGTTCCCAGCTTCATGACAACTTGTTAACGGCTTGTTGATAACTTGCTACAAGGTCGTTGAGCTCAACAGACTTGTTACAAATTGTTCCAACAACTTGTTATCGTCCTGCAATTCAACAAATTGTCGACAAGTTGTGAGTGACAACCTTGTAGCAACTTGATGAAATAACATTGTTACAACTTGTTGACCTTATTTTTCGGAATTTGTTTCTTTTTGTATTTTCTTAAATTGTCGGTTGACCGTGGTTTTTTGTTGGCAAGCTTGCCACAATCCTGTTGCGAACACATCTTGTTGAAAAGTTGGGCAGATTTTTACGTGTGTATCAAAGTCACATGCAAACTCTCGCTTGTAACCTGAAAGTTTGTATTACTCCAATAGGAAATAAAAACATTGAATATTTCCACTAAAAAACAAACCTGCAGGTCTCATAAGCTCTCCACCTTGACCCCTAGAATTACAAACAACAACGTTGAAATGTGTATATGCAATCGTGACAGCAATGACGGACGACTGGTATGCAAAAATTTGCACAGTTACCTACCTAAATAATTTGGCTTCAGTAAGCTAAAGACAAAAACATTGTGCGCTTACTTTAGAAACATGAAATGGCAAATGAATCGCTACCATGGTTTCAGAGGTTTTCTGGTTTCAGAGGTTTTAGCTTGGCCAGCACCACCTGAGTGCAGGCTGCAGCTTCAGCGAAACAGGAAACCCCTTGAACCAAGGGTAATGAATCGCTGAATTAAATTGATGTGAAAGCACAGATGCATATTTAGACATGGTTTGTTTATTCACCTTCGGTATAATATTCTCTAATTCCTCCACACACGATGAACCCAATATATCCAGCAAGCTCCTATATGAACCAAAACATGACAAGAACATGAACGAAACTTTATTTATACCGGGTACCTATATATCAGTTCTAAACTGTTCTCCCTAGAGGTCCAGTAAGGGTCGTCTTTTATTAGTTCAGTGTTACTACATGAGGAAGCCTAAACTAAACTAAATTTTTCATACTCAACAGTACATCGAAACTTATAACATTGTACCAGGGCACGAAGTAGAGAAAAAAATATGAACTGCCAAAATGGCGATGTCTCATATGAGTCATATTGTAAAAATCAATGTTTTCATGATATGCATTTTTATTATTTTTAAACTTAGACATTTTACTAAAGTAAACTTGGATTTACATTTCAAATATAAACATATTTAGTCAACTAAATGATCTAGTATATATGAGTTGTGGTAAGCAAATGATATGAAATATATCTATAGAATATCCGATGACCTGCCATTTGTTTTTTACTTGGCAGTTCAAATTTGTTTTTGCCTGCCATTTCTAAAATATGACCTGCTTTTGGCCATTGCCAATTGGCAGCCCGCTATTTCGAGCCCTGCATTGTATATACACTTATCTAACCAACCTGTTATTTTCCGCACCATAGCAATACAATGCATGAGTTAGTTCAGCCGCACATAAAATACTGCCATGTCTGGTGTTGAGATCCCAACCAACTGTCAGTGGTAAGATTGTGGGCAGAACTGTAAACAGTAATATAGTGAACACATGTACAATTAGTTTATTGTAACTGAATTCGCTATAAATATTTGCGAGTCTTTTTGTCAACTTTGTTCATTTCATTCCAAAAAAGTTTGACTCAAAAACCTCAGTAAAATAATGCACTCACAGTGACTCGAGTAAAATTATTCAAATCTATTGAGTAAATTTTGAGTAAAGTAAATCTTACTCAAAACGTTAGGTAGATTTGAAACTTACTCATAAATTTGAGTAATTTTACTGAAAACTTTGAGTCATTGTGGGTGCATTATTTTAATCAAGTTTTAAAGATTTTTTGCGGTGTTGTTTCAACCATAGCCTATCCATAGTTAATAGAATAGATGGTTTGGAAACTCATTAGAATAACAATATAACTCATCATCTATGTTAGTCAACGTTTATTCATAAATCTGGTCCTTCACCGTCACGTGTGTATTGTATTTTTACCAAACTAACCAATAGCAATGTTTTAGGAAAGTTACCTATCCGTGACTCGAACAATAGGGTAAATTGGAAATTGCTATTGGTGGATTTGGCAAAAATACAATACACACGTGACGGTGAAGGACCATACTTATGAATAAACGTTGATTAACATAGATAATGAGTTATACTGTTATTCTAATGAGTTTCGAAACCATCTATTATATCAACTATGGCCTATCGAAGGGAAGATGGCTGTGAAACTCATTAGAACAACAATATAACCCATTATCTATGATGGTCAACGTTTATTCATAAATGTTGTCCTTCACAGTCACGTGCGCATTGTATTTTTGCCAAATCCACCAATAGCAATTTCCAATTTCCCTATTATACGAGTCACGGATAGGTAACTTTCCTAAAACATTGCTATTGGTTAGTTGGGCAAAAATACAATACGCATGCACGTGACGGTGAAGGACCAGATTTATGAATAGACGTTGACTAATATAAATAATGAGTTATGTTGTCATTCTAATGAGCCTCACAGCCATCTTCCCTTCGATAAGCTATATGCTTCAACAGTATACCTTGTTTTGCCATTACTTCTGGATCTCGGTCAGCGAGGTTATACAAAGCTTTGGACACCAATTCGCGTATGGAGCTAAAAGGAGAAACGTTTATCTACGTTATCAACTGTAACGCTTGAAAGACAAAGCTAAACTCTATTTATGCTGGAAAGCTCTATCAGTAATTATGTCTGAACACATTTTCAAATTAACTTGTATTAGAGCAACAGTGGTTTATCAGATATAGAACACGTGGCGACAGCCCGAGTGTTTCATATCTGATAAAGCACGGACTGTTTTTAAGTATTGTACTTCAAAATCTCATTAATAATTCATGAACAAATTCAAAAGAAGTGAATGTTTGATCAATGTTTGTAAATCGTATAAAGATTTGTCCTGATTCACAACATAAACTTCAGCTTTGATTTTCTCGGCTTAGACAAAGTTTATTTTTAAAATTACTTCCCCAATAAACTGATAAGCACGTTATAACATTCGCATCCAATCTTATACGACCCATCTTATATATGAGTTCATTAGCGAAGTGATTTTATAAATCAACGTTGTCTATAAGCCGAGAAAATCAAAGCTAAAGTTTATGTAAATTAACGGGATTCTTTATCACATAACGACACGGCAGTGATTTCCTTTGTGTTTTCCTCATGAATTATTGAGTTTTTTAATTAAGAGTGTATCAAGTTAGAAGAGCAGTATACTTACATGTCCCAGTGACCGAGTTTAACTTTATAAAGATGATCAATCAAGGACTGTCGATATTCTTCATACTGAGCCACGTACACGCTTTAAACAAAACATACACAAACGTATTAGAGTGAAATATCATCGAACGTGGGCCCAGTGTACATATTAGAATGTTAGGATTTGTAATCCAAGTGAGAATATATACATTTTAAGACCTAACCAGGAACGACTGCGAAAAATGCAGCACAAGGTCCTCTGGTAGGAATTGAACCTACAGCCCTGCAATTCCGGTGCAGCGCTCTAACCAATTGAGCTACAGAGGACAGCTGTTGAGTTACAAACCCTAACATTCTAATATTAATTCCACCAAGTGAAGTGCAAGAATCTAAGTCATTCAAGTCCACCTTATCACAACCCGCACACCCGATTACCTATATATACATTAACTTACGGTTACAGCTCAACAGCTGGCCTCTGTAGCTCAGTTGGTTAGCGCACCGGAATCGCAGGGCTGTAGGTTCAATTCCTACCAGTGGACCTTGTGCTGCATTTTTCGCAGTCGTTCCTGGTTAGGTCTTAAAATGTATATATTCTCACTTGGATTACAAACCCAATGTACATAGTCTTCTACAATAAGCGGTTGGGGTTTGCGTTTAGGGTGACTGACCTTTTTTTTATATTTGCATTTTTTTCAGTTATTTGACGCTAGCTGGCAAACGATATGGCAATTATAGAACTCGCATCTTTCAAGATATCTTACTGACACTCTGAGACCCCCACTTTAAAACCCTCTTATAATGGTTTCCTTAGATACCCATCAACTGGTAAACGATTACGCTTTGTGGTTACATGCAAATTTTTGCACAGTTCCCCCATTTTTTAAAAAAAATATTGGCTGGTTTCGGTGAGGTCATGACCTTTGCACACGCTTCATTGGTTCATTGCTTTGTGTATGTGTGCCTATGTTGCATTCGTAAAATAATATCGTCACATCACAAAACGAAACTAAACACGATATATGTTTATATCTTGGGTCTTGAGGAGGAGATATATTATGTAAAAACTTTGCAAGGTGAAAGATTTCGCAAGATCACAATAAAGTCGGTATTATTAAAACAAGTTAAAACAGAAACACTAGAATACAAGATATGTAAGTAAACAGACTGCTCAGGTTTGTGCCTCGTTTGGAATGGCTTCCCTACCAGCGGAAGAGAAATATGGCTACGAAGATAGTCGTTTTGAAAAGGCTGTCGATGCCCACTTTCATTGCTCGATCTGCTACAATGTTCTGAAGGAACCAATGATGTGTAGCAATAATGAACACATATTTTGCCGTGGCTGTATCACTGAACACTTAACTGTGAACTCGCATACTTGCCCAGAATGTAACGAGGACTTGACTATCGAAACACTTCGTCGGGCCCCGCGTCTGGTCAACAATTATTTATCTGAACTTAAGATAAACTGTAGTTATTCTAGTCGCGGTTGTTCGGAGTTCATTCGTCTGGAAGAGGTGGATTCTCATGTTGAGAATTGCGGCTTTGCCCCAGTGGAGTGTTCGAACGAGGAATGCGGAATGGTGATTAATAAACGAGAATTGATTCATCACGAGAGCACAGTATGCGAGTACAGGAAAGTCAAGTGTCATTCTTGTCAAAAGTTAGAGCAAGATATAGAAGAAATGAAGGAGGATGTGGAAGAAATGAAGAAGAAAATGGCATCCAAAGTGGATGTAGACCAAGTAAAGGCTTTGATGGTCCAGATGTTTGAAAAATTACGTTTCCTTGAAAACACCATTCAGATTTCATCTGCTATCAACCACGCATCGAATGCATTAACGGAAGACATCTTGGTAGCAGGGGGCTGGGGCAAAGGTGTTAAACGTTTAAAATCTGTTGAACGATTTTCGTGGAAGAATAATGTATGGAGAAGAGTGTCCTGGATGAATAATGATCGTGCAGGAGCAACGTCGTTTGTTTACGAGAGTCGAGTATTTGTCGCCGGTGGATGTGACAGTGATGTAATTGAGGTATTAAATTTGAATAACAATTATTTGCAATGGGGTGAATTGGTGGCCACCTTGCCCTATTACTGTGTGCGCCTCCTCTCTGTAATTTATCAGAACCGTGTAATTTTTTTCTGCACATGTGATGAGACTGCTACCGTGGATTCATGTGTAGAATTTTGTCTCACTGAACCTTACACATATAAGGAGTTGTGTAGCATGCCTGAGCCCGCACGCAAACATTACAGGGTGGTTGCATTTGAGCACAAAGTCTTGATTTTTGGAGGAAAGAGTGGCGTTCAGATCCTCGATGACGTGTTGGAGTTTGATCTTACTACGAACACGTTTAAAGCGATGCCTCCGTTACCCTGTGCTTTGCAAGAAATGGCGACAGTTCGTTGGGGAGATCAAGCAATTTTGATTGGAGGTTTGGATAAAGATGGCTACTCAAAAAAAGTTCACATGTATAATTCCAAATCGGGTCACACCACTGAACTGCCACCTATGACGGAAGAAAGAGCTGGATGCTGTGCGGTCATTACTGGCAATACAATCGTTGTAATGGGCGGAAAGGGAAAGGGAAAAGATCGTCACAGGTCTGTCGAAGCTTTCACTTTGGGAGGTTATTCGTGGCGGTATCTTCCTGACATGAATGATATTAGAAGTATTCCCACTGCAACTGTTTTACCAACGAAAAACTTACCTTGACGCTTCTAACAGTTTCAGAGCTGTATAGGAAACGATGTATTTCATTCACATTCATTGATGTGTTTTTACCCTACATCAGTCGTGAACAGACTTATTAAAATTTATTTAATAGGTTACCTTGTATTTCTGAAACTTGGAAGTTTAACATTAAATGAGGTTGACACTAAGAATAATATTAGGATTGAGACTAGAATAAGGCCAAAACAAGTGTTTGATCATTAATGTACGCACGATTATTCATTTTAGAATAAATTTTCACCTGGACGTTTTTGAAGAAATATTTTCACCTGGAGTTTTTTAAGGTAGAAGATGGGGATCTAAATCATATTGGAGATATGGTGGTACCAATTTACGGATATGGGAAGCGTCATTTTGTTCAAAAAATTTCACTGATGTCTTCCTTTTTTTTATACTTTTTTTATTTCCTCGCGATATTCTAAGAAACAACCACGCACAGTAATTACAAAGTAAAGCCTTCGGCAAACTAGGAAACATTGTTGCGGAAACATTGTTTGCTACCAATGTTTCGCCATGTTTCCAAGAGTGGGCAAACACTAGGAAACATTAGTGAGAAACATAGGGAAACATCAAATGTTTCTGAATTCGCTAGGAAACATTTTTGCTTCTCGGGAAGCAAATTTTGTTTCCGCAATAATGTTTCCACGGGTGGGCAAACAGGGAAACATTTGAGGACACATCGAGAATCACAAATGTTTCCACAACAAAGTTTCCTAGTTTGCCGAGGGCGTAAGCAGACGTCAAGGAAAATTGTTTAACAAAATTACGCTTTCCATACCCATATTAACCCATTAAGTTGCGTTGCCCTCGTTGCATTACACCCCTATGTGCTAGACTCTGTCTAACGCCAGGCGATTTTCCCCGTCAAGGGGAGAGCACTTGCGCTCAATGGGTGAATCAGACTATCTGCTCAATCGTGTGTCTAGTGAGTGTATTAAGCTGCATTGCGTCCAAATGCGTCCTACTACACGTCAAGAGGAGAGCATTGCACATTAACAGTGGGTTGACGCCTGAACCGGGGTACCCAGGCTCTTTCCTAGCGAGGTAAGAGCGTTGAGAAAAGAGCCTCGCAAACAGACAAACACTGATCTACTTTGGAGGACAGACGAGTTCACACTGTTTCGTCCTGAAGAGGCTACCAACCTCATGACGAAGCGTCTTTGCTCGATACATTGAAGTGTTTTTAATCTATTTCAGACCTGCATATCAGGCACAAACAAAATTTTTAAAATACAAGGACTTTCTTAAAATCGTAATCATAATCTAAATCATATTAAGCTAATTATAATGTCCCACCCACCTTATTGTAAGATAAGTATTTTTCCTTTTGCCGACTTCGTAGTAATCTGCTTTAGTTAGAATATCGATGCCATGAGGTAAGGTACCCTACCAAGCAAAGCAAGATATTCATATAAGGTCATCAGAAACCGAAGTACCTGAAGAACACACAGTGCCTGGTAGAGTCGAACTGGAAGCACTCTTTGGCCTTTGATTCTATTTCTGCAATACGTAGTTTCCAAATTAATGTAATTTTCCTCAATCTCATAACATATTGGTATATGCTACCAACTCTGTGCTACCAACGCTGTTTAGTTTTTTTTCAGTGCCTGATCGTTTCATGTATATTGTTAAGCATACCTGTCTTCCAACATTCTCTTGAAAAGCGGCCTGTAAACCATAATATATTTATTCCACCTAGAAGTTGTGTTGCGGCAAATCCTCTATTAAGCCTGCTAGGTTCACGCTGGGTTTGAGTTGTTTGAGGCGGCTTATTAGAGTCGGAGAAACCAGAGGGAGCTTAATGAATTTGCTGCAAGTCCGTAAGTAATGCAATACCCTTTACTTTACGTAAGGGGGGTTGTTAAAGTTCTTTCTCCAAAAGTGGAAGCATATTATAGTGGGGTCTTATTGGAGAGGGGGGTCTTATTTGAGAGGGGGTCTTATTAAAGATGGGGTCTTATTTGAGAGAGGGGTCTTATTTGAGAGGGGGTCTTATTAGAGATGGGGTCTTATTAGAGATGGGGCCCTATTTGAGAGAGGGGACAAAATAATAAAGTATTTATGGTTAACATATTTACGATGCTAGTCATTGGATTGATCTTACCGAGGCCGCTCTACGGCAGTTTATATCTCTATCAAATAACGTCGCAATCAGCAAACCTCTGAAAAAACAATGACAAAAAAATCTGAATGCATAAACTTGAGTTTCCATCCTGAAAATAGCTAATGTTGAAAATATACTGTGGTCTATATCTGAACTACTTGGAAAAGATTGAACATGATAACTTCGATTTCTAGTAAAAGATCGTTTATCATGAGGTACGTAGATACATCTAACCACCCTGATGAAGTGTTTTTAAAAGTTTGAGGCAGTTCAGAAACCAACTATAGCTGCTTGGAAATCCACGCTGTAGATAGTATTCTACAATATGTACGAGATATCACAATTATGCATACCTAGCAATCTCTTCAATATAAGGTTTAATTTCAACAGGGTCGTATGCTCTTGCAAATGACCAACATACATAACAAGCAGCATCTCTCACATTGGAACCTGTGATCACATAACGAATAAATCATTAGGATATATTTCTGAGAGATATTAGAGGACATAAGCACATACCAACACTTATCGCTCCTCTTCTTTCATCATATAGCAAGGCTTTCAAGACAACAGGAACGACTAAAAACAAGATGTTTAGTTCACTAGTTATTTGTTTATTTCACTAGTTACCAATACTTTCAGAACTGGCGTTAATACTTTTCAGATATCAGCAGATTACGTACCTTCAGACAATCTCTGAGGCAACAACAGTCCTCTTCGACCTAGCTCAGCGAGCGCAAGACATCCTGACAAAATAATATTTGCATTATAATAATGAAACAAAGATCACAGAAAATATAAGAGAGTGAAAAAGTTATCTTCGTGGTCAAGCTTTGTCAATATTTTTTCTTCTTCCTGATCTTCCACGAGGGTCACACTTCGAGGTAAGTGAATACGATCATGTGCATACGAATTACGAAATAAGCTAAATTGTAAGATTGACACAAGAAATCTTAATTCCCTCACCTCCATGCCAAGCACTGTCAGTTTCCTGAAAACTAAAATAACACAAAATAGGTCATCTGACATCATTGTTACGACTATGAACACCATACCATGATTACCATCAGCATCACCAGAACTAACACCACCATCATCACTACTATCACTACGATCAACCATCATCACAACCACCATCACCACTACAACAAGCATATACATTACTATCATGACCATCACTACCACCATCATCATCCACATCATTACACCATCTCCACCATGATCATCACCATCATTACCTCCATCATCATGATCACCATCACAAGCAACATCACCACAACCATAACCTTCACCATTATTATCACCATCAACACCACCATCATCAACATCACCACCATAACAACAATCATCACCATCACAAAAATCACCATCATTACCAACATAATCACCACCACCAGAACTAACACCACCATCATCACTACTATCAATCAACATCACAATCATCATCACAACCACCATCATGATCATCACCACAACTTCCACCACCATGATCATCATCACCATCAATCACAAGCAACATAACCACAACCTTCACCATTCACCATCATTATCACCATCATTACCAACACCATTATCACCATCATATTACCAACACCATAATCATCACCATCATAACCACAATCATCACCATCACCATCACCATGCTTCTTATATAACCATGCAATCTTTACCATCACCATGCTTTCATGTTACCTGAATAAATCTAATACAGCACCAACAATATCATCAGCAAGTTCCTTGGGAAGTCTGCCCGTTATTCTACCAACTCTACATAACACACCAAACAAAGATGAGTCCAAAATCTAGAAGAATATGTCACAAAAATTAAATTCATAACTTTCACAGAATTATTACCCTTTCGCTGCTGACCATCTTACAATGGTATCCTTCTCTTTCAAACCTATCAACAGTATCTCTAGAAAGTACGAAAAAGAACAACAAATTGATTACATTTATTACTACACTAAATTTAAATTAAGTTTGCTACAGACGTATTGTTTACTTTAATTTCCAACGGGCAAGCTATATTTAACGATGTTGATAGGAGATAAATCACAAGGCTGACTGCACTATAAAACACCGTACAATCCATAGATATCTTATATACACTAGATAGCGCATCTCATTTAGTAAAATTGAAGCCAAGAATATTCCAGCGGTTACCCGCATTTGAATAGATGGCGGCCATGTTGGTCGTTCCCACTTGCTAATAAACGCTTAAAAACAACAATAACTTTCATTATATGAATAGTTTGAACATGTATTTGGAATAGGGTTAACTTAATGTTTAAGTTCCCTGTTCAAGAAATAGAAAACATACGAATCTTCTCATTTCATGGGAACGACCTGAGACTGCAATCACGGCTTCAATTTTTGAATTGCAGAATAATTAGATGCACTATCTAGTGTATATAAGATATCTATGGTACAATCGAGCAAGTTGAAGATGATTGTTCACAGTTCAAGCTGGATTTCCACTCAATTTCTTTTGAATTGTGAGCGGTAAAGGAGGACTTACTGATTTAATCGGATGGTCACAATTCAAAAGAAATCAAGAGAAATATTTCGACGAGTGGAAATCCACCCTTTCTGTTGAGAGAAATATTTCAATATTCTGCCATCAACATACGAAAAGTAACGGGGTTTTTTTCAGAAAAACGTTCCCGTTCGTACGGTGCTCCTTTAGATGCAGATAAGACAGCAAGACGTTTCATACCAATAATATCTTCGATATCCTCCGGGACATCAAAGTTTTCATCTAATTCCTAAAATAAAATGCGTAGTTAACATTTACTGGATACTTGAAACATTAAATTAATATTTTGTAACATCCTACTACTGTAACATGCTAAAACATTTTAATTACATTTTCGTTTTCCATGACCTGGATATCTGTTATAGTTTTTTCCTGAAAAAAATTATACTAAAGTTTACTACTTAATTATCTAGTATTTAAAAGATACAGCGTCAGTGATAAAATTTCGAATGAACACATTACCAAAGCAATAAATATTATCGTACTTGTACAGATTTTGCGAGATTATGCGATAGTGATCTGGTTCCCCTCTTATACCTTTAATTAAGTTGATAAAACAGAATGTAAGAGATAAAATCTGAATCTGAAACACATAACAATGGAGAGCCTCGCTTTTTGATAACTTGTCACACATTACCTCCAGGCTGCAAGCCTTGGTTTTAAAAAAGTAAGCCCCAGTCTCTGTAATGGTAAGAAAGACTAAATTAATGGTTTCTTTGAGTTTTAAAAAAAAAGGAGAAATTACACGACACTGACCTGAATTAACTTGACATAAAGTTTTCTTAACAAACTGTTATTAACTGTCAGGATATCACAAGATTCAACTGTCTCACGAACTGTTCTGGCTAAAAACACACATACATTTATAGCTATTATAGAATTAACAATGCCAATGGTTGATTCCAGCTATAGACGAAATTTTGATCTAGACAAGAAGAATGAAATCCATTACCACAGCTGGAAAGAGCATCTTAAAATGAGTAAAATTGCAAAGTTTGATTTTTACCGCGCGTATTACAAATATATACAAAATTTGCGAACTTCACAGACACAGGGCTACATTCTCTTCATTTTACAATATTTACCGAATTTCAGATATCATTTTCTCTTTGGCGTACCAGCGTAAAGCTCTTCATTTTAGCATAATTTTACAAATAAAGCACTAAACATACTTCTTAAGTTTGTTTGCCGCTTGAAAAACGTATAAAAAATTTTTGAATGTAGTCAGAGCATGTTACATAAAATATAAAAGATTCTGCTCTTATATAATTACCGTGTGTAATTAAGTCGGCTCTTTTTCCGTGCTTAAAAAGAAGTGCCTAAAATACAAAAGAATAATCCCTGAACATGGAAATTGAACTATTACACAAAAAAACATACCGATAACTAAAATATATAACATTATATAACACATAAGATTCCCGCGAAAAGAAACAATTTCAATTTGACAAATAGTATAATTATAAAATCTTACAAGAGTACTTAAGATTCCCGTCATTTTGTTTGTACCGGCTTGTGTCCTCGCTGAAATAAAAAATGCAATAGATCACACTTAAATCACAGACACTGTGTTTGCATAAGCATACAATAAATATCACATTTTAAGTTCTTTACTTTTTTATACAAACTTTATATACCGTCAATTTTGGAAAGATAGTCTAGGGACCACGTCAAGAATTCGGGTAAGTAACGAGTTTTCACATCAGGTCGGGTAACAAATCTGCCGGTAGAAACAAAGTAGTTTTTAAGACCTTATTGAAATCAGCTACAGTAGCTGAAATGAAACTTATTTATTTTGCAAAATTTCAGAACATGTTTAATTTTTTTTTGTGATATTGAGTAAATTGATAAATTGCACCAGGGGCAAGGAGTTACTTACTTAGCTATTACTAATGCGGCAGCATCTCTGCATTTGTCAACTACATTGAGATACACCTAGAGGACAAAAATATAATATATAGATTGTATTAAATGTCATACATATGGAAGAATCATGAATATGCATTAATTAAAGGTCACTTGGATGAACGTATTTCCCACGAAAAAAACACACATTTGGTTAAAAACAACCTTTATTTTTACAATGCCATTATCATATTTTTACATTATCACTGTTTTGTACAAACTGTTACAGTTTGTACAAATTGGTCCAGTGCTACAGTTACAATTTTTATAGAAAACCACAGTACCCTGTCTCTCATGGGCTAAGCCCTGCTGTGCCTCAGAGACATGAAAGACTAAAGACTGTGTAACACAGTATATAACCATTAGAATCACTTCCAAAGGCTCACCTTGGCAAAGTCAAGAATTCTTTCAGTGATAGGTTTCTGATCAGAGGTTTGAGCAATATCACCATCAAATCTTGACATATCAAATGGTACCATACATACGATTGACAACCATAGCAATAAGATGTATCTGGCTTCCCAAGACTAGAAAAATCATTATGATGTACTTTACGATACATCAGAACATGGGCGGATTTACTGGGGGGGTTAGGGGGGGGGTTAAACCCCCCCTAGAATATCTCTAACCCCTCTAATAAAGTGTTCAACCCCACCAAAATTTCACTTCACCCCTCCTATTTTGTGTGAAAGGCTTTAACCCAAAGGTCTAATCCCTGCCGAAGCTCAATTTCAGGTAAATCCAGATAGATTTGCAGAAGAAATTCAGGTAAATGAACACAAATTCAGGTAATTTCTAGGCCCAGAGAAAGTTAATTAAGAAAAAATAAGTGTGAATTTGGAAAAGAATGAGGTAAATTTACAAAAATTTTAGAAAATTATACAAAATTTTCGGATTTTAGAAAAATTTTTTTGATAAATGGCGAAAATTGCCGATGTCCAAAAAAATTTTTTTATGTAACGAAAAAATTTTTGACCCCTAAAATGGTACACTAACCGAAATTTTTTTGGTCCGCCTTTTAAATAAATGAAAATCCGCCCTTGCATCAGAAGGAATTTTGATACTTATATACAATAGGGATTTTAGACGCTGGAAAGCGTGTTGAAACATGTGACATCTTTTACACACACATTTATTCAAACACATTATGTCAGTATAAGAATCTCTAAATATGCCTAAAACATTTTAAAACTAGTTGCTGCCCCCTCCCCCACTGCATATGCCCCTGCTTATTTGCTGCTATCAATATGATCCTCAACCTTCGCTGCTATCAATATAGAAATCTTATTTAAGATCCTACAAGATCCTATAAGATCCTATAAGATCTTACAGGATCCTATTTAGGAACAAGATCTTATTTAAGATCCTATTTAAGATCTTATTTAAGATCTTTTCTTATTTAGGATCCTAAAATTTCTTAAAAGATATAATCAAGATCTTAAAATTTTCTTAAAAGATATAATCATGATCCAAAACTGATTGTAATGGACTCTAATCAGGATCCTAACGTTTTGTTAGATGATTTAATCAGGGTCCTTGAGTTTTCTTATACGATTTTATCTGGATCTTAAAGTTTTCTTATAAGATTTAGTCAGGATCCTAAAGTTTTCTTATAAGATTTAATCAGGATCCTAAAGTTTTCTTACACGATTTAATCAGGATCTAAAAGGTTTTTACAAGATTTAATCAGGATCTTGAAGGTTTCTTACAGGATTTAACCAGGTTCTTAAGGGTTTCTTACAAAATTCAATCAGAATCCTAAAGGTTTCTTATAAGATTTAATCAGGATCTTAAAGTTTTCTTATAAGATTTTATCAGGATCTTGAAGTTTGCTTATAAGATTTAATCAGGATCCTAAAGTTTTGTTATAAGATTTAATCAGGATCTTAAAGTTTTCTTACAAGATTTTATCAGGATCTTAAAGTTTTCTTATAAGATTTCATCAGGATCTTAAAGTTTTCTTACAAGATTTAATCAGGATCGTAAAATTTTCTTATAAGATTTTATCAGGATCTTAAAGTTTTCTTATAAGATTTAATCAGGATCTTAAAGTTTTCTTACAAGATTTAATCAGGATCTTATAATTTTCTTATAAGATTTTATCAGGATCTTAAAGTTTTCTTATAAGATTTAATCAGGATCTTAATTAAAGGTTTCTTACACGATTTAATCAGGATCTTAAAGTTTTCTTATAAGATTTTATGAGGATCTTAACGTTTTCTTACAAGATTTAATCAGGATCTTAAAGTTTTCTTACAAGATTAATCAGGATCTTAAAAGTTTTCTTACACGATTTAATCAGGATCTTAAAGTTTTCTTATAAGATTTTATCAGGATCTTAACGTTTTCTTACAAGATTTAATCAGGATCTTAAAGTTTTCTTACAAGATTTAATCAGGATCATAAAGTTTTCTTACAAGATTTAATCAGGATCATAAAGTTTTCTTACATGAGGATCTTATAGGATCTTACAAGATCTTATAGGATCCTCTTTAGGAACAAGATCTTAATTAGGATCCTATAGGATCTTAATTAGGAAAAATGGATGGTTTAGGATCTTAATTTCAAGCAAGATCCTACTTAGGATCCTTAAAGGTCCTACTTAAGATCCTAAGATCCTACTTAGGATCCTAATTCAGGATCTTAACATAATTTCCTATAAGATATAATATGGATCTTAACATTTTCCTATAAGATTTACCTAGGATCTTAACAATTTCCTATAAGATCCTATATGGATCTTAGTATTTTCCTATGAGATATATACTATGGATATTAACAATTACCTGTAAGATATAATAGAATTTTGACATTTTCCTAAAGATATAGTATGGATCTTAACGTTTTCCTATAATATTTACTCAGGATCTTAACAATTTCCTATAAGATCCTATATGGATCTTAGTATTTTCCTATAAGATATACTATGGATATTAACAATTACCTGTAAGATATAATAGAATTTTGACATTTTCTTAAAGATATAGTATGGATCTTAATATTTTCCTATAATATTCACTCAGGATCTTAACAATTTCCTAATTTAAAGATATACTACGGATCTTAACAATTTCCTACAAGATTCACTCAGGATCTTAACAATTTCCTACAAGATTATCGCAGGATCTTGACAATTTCCTACAAGATTTACTCAGGATCTTAACAATTTCCTACAAGATTCACTCATCAGGATCTTAACAATTTCCTACAAGATTTTCGCACGATCTTAACAATTTCCTACAAGATTCACTCAGGATCTTAACAATTTCCTGCAAGATTCACTCAGGATCTTACAATTTCCTACACGATTTTCGCAGCATCTTAACAATTTCCTACAAGATTCACTCAGGATCTTAACAATTTCCTACACGATTTACTCTGGATCTTCACAATTTCCTACAAGATTCATCAGGATCTTAACAATTTCCTACAAGATTTACGCAGGATCTTAATAATTTCCTATAAGATATACTATGGATCTTAACAATTACCTACAAGACTTGCTACTCAACCCCAGGATCCTAAAATTTTCCTAGAACGTTTACTGGATGTCAGTGATAACTAAAATTCGTAAAATGGGCTAAAATTAGGTATGGACGTAAATGATTTGATTATTGTCGTGTAAGCAAGATATAATAAGACAGCTAGAATTTTGAAGATGGAATTGGAATTTAATAACTCAATTAAGAGTTTCTGTCGAAATAAACTCGAAAAAACCGTAATACAGACTGGATTGTTCACATGATTGAGATCAGTGCCTTCAGTCAATCACGTTGCCATATATGGGCTCCCAGAAGGCTTAGCGGGCACATTTCGACTTCGAGCGCGTCGTTTGGAAATTTTATTTTATACGTCGGTTGATAATGGCCAAATTTTCTTAAAATATTGAAGAAAATAAGAAGAAATAATCAAATTTTTGAAGATTCACACAATAATTTTGAATGTAAGTGTTCAACTATGTCCATATTTTGAAGTTTTGTGTGTAAATATGTGCCATAAATAGTTGTATTCATGTATATTTTTTATTAACCGCGCCTATGCTGTTGGTCGCATTTTATTTTGTATTGGGTTCAATAATACATTGTTATTATTAAAATACATTAAATCTTTGTGATATTGCTTTGTATTTACAGATTATAATTACAAGCAATAAATACTGTCATAATATTGTGATCCAAGCAAGTCAAACTGTCGAAATCATGATACATAAAACGACAACAGACTAGAATATGTACAGGCTACAGCTGTCAAGATCAAGAAGGTATGAATATTGTTTATATAATTGTGTATTGAGAGGATATCAATACTTGACTCATTTAGCTAATATTGATATAATCGCCAGAGAAAGTTTTATGGCTTTGTATGAGAGGAGAAGAATCCTTCCTTTGTTTTATCTATATTGTGCTATCATAATACATAGCTATATGTCCATTTATTATCCAGATAACCCACTCCTGAGGAAATTATAGTGTGCCCCTGATTCACTGATTGCCCTGAAGAAATAGCCCAATATGCTAAGTAGTATGCAGACCCTAACATGGCATTAGTAAATGTTTATGAGTCAAGTTGTGTGTTTATATCAAACCGAGGCAGCCCAGATACTAGAGTAAGCTCATTGTAGTGTTGTACCAACCACCCACAGATGATAGAATGGCATTCTTACTAAATGTACCTGTGGTTGGTCATATCCAAGCAGGATAGTGAGATAATCTGGTCACCAGGTATTTCCCAAAGGTAATGCTTATTGTGACTGAGAAAAAAGTTTAAAAAGACAAACTTGT